TTCTATGACATAAGCTATATATTCAGATACAATAAATCTAGATCTGAATATCATTGCTAAAGCACTGAATCTTCTGAAAAAGAGATTCTCTAAGTGAAAATCTTGATATTATAAGCATTGAGCTTGCTTCAACTGCAGATGTTAAAATCATGATATAAAAGATTACACTCAGCATGCACAGTCAAGAGAGATAAGAGTAGACTGGTCACTGAGATCATGAATTTCACATTTGGTCTCATTTGGTCTGATTTCATACATTTCTTGGCGTGAATCCCGCTGGGACTAATCATTAAATAAACATGTAAAGTGACTATATATCAGATCTCAAAATGAAATCATGACTTGAAAAAAATGAGAAAGTGATCTCATTTGGTCTCATTTAGTCCCATTCTTGGCATAAAGTAACACTTTTTGGTAACACTCAAATGAGATTTAAAGTCATTTAAAGCAATAAAAATAATTTAAATTGAGAAGTGAAAATCATGATCCCATTTGAAAAATGTGACAAGAGTAGACAGTAAGTCTCACTGAGACAGTATGGAACTACTATCTAATGTTAGAACCGTGTAATGGGATCTGTTGAATTGGCAATGAAACTATCAAAAATTCTGGTCCTGGTCCCAGACACGGTCACACGGTCAGTCTAGATAAGAGAGTTAAAAAACTAGCAGAATTAGTGAGCTTGAAGACACTTATTAATATTCTATGAAAAGTCTTCAAAGTGAAAGAGATGCCTGTATTAGATGATTCTCTGAATTCTATGAATATAAAGAAGAAGCAGACTTCTGAATAAAATGTAAGTGAGAATGATGAAGTGAACACTCATCTCAATATCTTGAGATCTGAAATGTTAATATATAGAGAGCACTTGAGTAAGAATTGAGAGATAGCTGCAAAAGTGTTAGCAGATATAGAAGCTTCTACATAATATATTAATAATTATATTCTCTGAAGATTGAAAGAGATTCACTGAGTGAAGAATCTCTGATATATAAGATTATTTAATAACTGATATTTGATATTATCTACAAGAGTAAGAGTTCTCTTGCACTTCAGAGAATGATCTTACTATATTTAAGCATGAGAGCAGCAGAATGTGAAATACAACCTTATTCTCAGACTCAATTAATTTCAAAGGTTCAATTCACAGATTCAATGATGTATATATCATATACAGTTGACTGATAGAAAGAAAATGATTTATACAATTCTATTAACTGATATGAGAAGAACATTTCATATCTCTGATATAGAAGAATTAAATCTGCTTACACATCAATAAGTAAAGAGAACAATTTACAAGATCTCATCTGAAAGCATTCTATATGTCATACAGAACTCAGAAGCAGAGGAAATCAAGATAAAGAATATGCAGAAAAACAAGTATATGAAAAAGCTTCTGAAGAAGCATGAGAAGATCTTCTGAACAGATCTTTCACTGAAATTGCTGCTGAAATGAGAATTCATACATGAGATTGATATAAGAGACACAAAACCAGTTAATTAGAATGTGTACTCTCTATCACAAACACATCTTGAAGAACAGAAGTGTCAGATCACTGACCTTCTAGAATATAATCTTATACAATTCTCATCAAGCGCGTGAGACTTTTCAGTTCTATTTATGAAAAAGACAGATGAGAAGTGATGAATGTGTATTGATTATCAAGTACTCAACAAGCTTATGATTAAGAATAAATATTCGCTGTCACAGATTCAACAACAGTTGAATACAGTTGAAAATATCTGATATCTATCAAAGATAGTGAAAGTTTCTTTGTGAGAGTATACACAGAATACTAGCTGAATCAGAGATAGATCATACAATTGTGAAACACTAGTGACAAGCTAATCTGTATAAAGCTAGAGTGTATAACATGATCATGTGAGTATGACTGAATCTGATAGAGAAGAATATAGTTCAGAAGAATGTACAACTGTCAGATAATAACACAGCCACTTCCGAACTACTAGTATACAAATGTAAAGAGAGGCTCTAGCGGCCACTAATTAATTTAGTGTACAAGATTCAATATATAAGAAGCCGGCATACGCCTGTAATTGTACGCTGGCTTAAGCAACCTTTGAATCACATTCATACTCAGTTTTATAAGCACTTTCATTCTTTATAATGAGTAGAGAGTGAGATTGAAAGTATTAAAATATACAGAAGTATCTAAGTATTCTTTTAACACTTTTATATTTAATTCTATAGATATTGAAATTATCTGTATAAGAGTTTCTTATTGAGATAATTATTGAATTTCTTTATATTAATGTTGTTGAGTTATATATATATTAGCTATTTATTATTATTATAATTTCAATATTACTCAGAGTTACTGTGATATTATATCTATACTTATATTCAAGAGTTCTCTCATACTATTATTAGACATGATTATATTAATTATCAGATGTATAATATCTGTGAAATTGTAATTATATAAATATCTCATATATCTGAGATATCAGAACTCTTAGATCTTTTACTAATATTCTATTATAAAATCTTACTCTCTTTATAAGATCTTATTACAGAGTCAGAGTGACTGATAAACAAGCTTCTATCTGAGAACTTAGTATTTACTTAACTGTTTAACTATTTCTCTATTTCTTACACATTATTACACATTCAGATATCTTGATAAATAATTATCTTTAATAAGAAGATAATGCATGAATAATTGTTTCTAATAAGAAGATAATGAATATTTTTCTAGTGTAAGAGGTCTATGCTGAATAGATTGATATAATATTATAGATCTTATATAATAAAGAGAAAAATGTTAGAGAAGGAAAGAAAGAGAAAGTGCAAGAATCAGTGATCAAGGTGAATATTTATACATGTATGTAGTGGTGTACGCGGTGGAGCTTCGGGGCGGAAGAATATACACGCGTTTGTAGTGGCCGAGAATCGGTGATCAGAACATACACATTCGTGACGGCCGAGAATCGGCGATCGGGAATGAGGCGGTAGAAATCTATGAAGTGTACGAAATAGTCTATATAATTGATCGGGCGCAGCCCGCCACATCTGAGACTTCTTTTATAAGAGTTATTTATAATTTAGATAACTACTTCTGAGTGTCTACAGTAGAGTTCACAGAGATTAAAGTATATAAGTTTCTAGTTCTTTCAGTTATAATAGATAATTACTGACTGACTTAGCTTGAAATGTAATAATAAGTACTTATAGATAATTATTCAGATATTTATAACTTAATATAATATAACTATTAACTATTAGAAGTATTCATAGTAGAAATATAAAATATAGAGATTAATATATAATAGTATTTAAACTGAGTTATAAATTATAGTTGTAAACTTCAGTCTATATAGTTGTATGTAATTAAGAGCTGCTAACTCTATTAATTATATAAGAGATAAAAAAAGAAGTAAAGAATCTATAAGAAGTGAGATTTCTTACATTTCTAATAAGAAGATAATAAATATTTTTCAAGTATAAGAGATTTACACTGAATAGATTAGTGTAATATTTATAGATCTTATAATACAAAAGTGAAAAATATTAGAGAAGAAAAAAAGAGAAAGTGCAGAAATCAGTGATCAGAGTAAATATTTATACATATATATAATAAAGCTTTAAAATAGAAGAATAAAAATTTCATGAGTTTTTCAGCTGAGAATCAGTGACTGAGAATTGAATCTTTTAATAAAATTTATAAAGTGTAATGAAATAATCTATATAATTAATCAGACGCAGTCACGCAGTCTGTTACACTATACATAATTTATCTACTATAACTAACTACTGTATATATATACAGAACTTTGTAATTACAAAGCTACTTATAATAATAGAAAGTAATTATTATTATTATTATTATTATTTTATTCTTAAAGTTCTAAAAATGTTTTAATAATAGAATAATATTGAAAAAAGACTATTTAAATATTTATTCATTTAATAACTCTAGTAATTTATTATTAATATAACTATTTATTATAATTATTTATTTTCTAGAGAAAGATTTACTAATTAAATAGTTAGTTAATAATAAATCTACAGAGTAATTAACATAATTAATTATCTAACACTTATTTTCATCTAATACTCATCTTTGTAAATCAATTATAATTAACTTTAAATGTTAATATCTTAATAAATATTCATTATTTTATTTTTTTAATTTGTAATCTATAAATATCAAGACTTATAGTATAATATAATTCAAAGTTATTATAATATAGTTAAAATTGATTAAAATATAGATTCAATTAGAAAATAAAATACATTAAAATAAAATATATAATATTTTATTATAAATTAAGAAATATATATTATATATTATTGAAAATAATAATTCTTATATAAATATATAATAATTTAATAAATATTAAATTATTTTATATAAGAATTCTATATTTGAATTTTTAAGAATTTTTTTTAATTTTTTATTATATTTTTTTTATAAATTACAAGTAAAATATTGAAAATTCTTGAAATTTTAAATTTTGAAAAATAATTTATTAAATATAAATATATTTAAATGATTTGATATAATAATTTATTTAAATTACAATTTTAAAGTATAAATAATACACAGTTATTACAAAAATAGTATTTTAAAATATAAAATTTTATATTTTATTAAAAATATATATAATCTATAAGATATTTAATTTTTATATGAAAATAATTTATACTTATAAATATATTTACAAATATAGACTGTGTATTTTATTTTAAAATAGTATTTTAAAAAGCTTAATAAATTAATAATTATAGGTTATTTTCTCATAGAAATTTAATATAATATAATATATATCTACAAATTATTATTCTGTTTTTTAGAATAGTTTTAAATAAATATTCATTGAGATATGAATATTTGAAGTTGATTGTAATTGATTTACAAAGGCGAGCGTTAGGTGGAAACAAGCGTTAGGTGGTTGATTACATTACAGCATAAAGAATACAGCTGAGTGAAAATATATCATAATAAGTTATTCTAGACTGTTGTATAAATACCTATAACTATAGAATCTTCATAGATAACACTGATAAATTATTATTGAAGTGATCAGTAACTAATGGTTGGTTGGGTTGTATATAGTTAACTAAATAGTTACTCTCTCCCCCCCCAATTAATCAAGTTATTTATTTATTTATTTACCACGCCTCACTCGACCTCACTCAACCTCACTCAACCTCCTTGACATTTCTCCAAACCTCCAACCTCCAACTCTCCAACTCTCCAACTCTCCATATTTTCGCCTTCATCTCACATCCTCTCCTTGTTGTGGCTTCTTGTCGACCCATGGCGGCCACCGTTCCCTTCGCTTTTCCCTCATCCTAGCGTCGCTCTCGCTCTGTTGTGGATGGTATTATGCGACTTGTTTAGTTCGTGCCCGCTGCTCGTCCTCACTCGCCCGCGCTTCGATGACAGTTCCTCCTTGAATCCCCTTCGCTTTTGGCGCTTCGCCGATCCCCCCCCCTCCTCCTCCCCTTCTTCTCTCCCCCAAGTTGTCCGCTCGATCGCCCATTTCCAGTGGTCTCTCGTCCTCCATTCGTTCCTCTCTCTATCCCCGTGTCCCGCTTGCGGCTCTCCAGTCTGTTGGCTGCTTCCATGATGCAGGTGAGTTTGGTCGCGCATTATTATCTACTCATTTTAAATCCCCCTGCTATTTCAAAGTTGTGGCACTCTACATACATGATCTGCTCCTACAAGGTGGCCGATCAAGCCCCGTCCCCTCTTCTCTTCCCTCGAACTCCCTTCGCTCTCCCCGCTCTCCCTGCTGCCCCTGATCACCAAAAACGGTTGGTCTGGGTTAAGCCTCTCCGTTTACGAGAAGATCGGCAGATGCTGAGGACTCATACGAATGAGGGGACTTGGCCGAGTTATCTCTCCTTTGTCTGGCGTGCTGCTCGTCTCTTCACTCCAATTCCTCATTGATTTCCCTGCCAGCGATTTTGAACACCTTGAAGCTATTCCGAGCGCACGCGCTACGTTTAAACCACATACTGAACGGACAGGCTGATATTTGCCCATCTTCGCAGACCTCGACTTCACCACCCTATGATCACAGTGGAGGATACTCTGCACGACGAGGCCGCGCTTCACAACTATCTATCAGCGATGATAGCCAACACGTTACGGAAACAATTGGCTACATGTATGGCGATGATTACGACAAAAGGGACTCGAAACGATTAAGTTTCACTCCCTCCTCTATGAATGAATCCCTTTCTGTTACCTCCCCGCGTCGACAGAATCTACCGCAGCCTTCAGATTCGAACAATTACCAGCGACCGCTTCCTCTCAGAACCAGTTCAATAGACAGGTCCGCCTCCAATGACTCCGATCGCCAGTCTGCGGCGGAACCGGGCTCAAGTGATCGAGATGGTACAGGCCCATGCTCACAGGTGCTAACCCGTTCTCCCTCGACCACCACCTCGATATCTATCCCACTAAACGACATAGACTATGAGTCTAATCCTGCTGCTGCCGTGGCGCAGGAACTCAGCAACTTGGCTGCTCTCCGGAGAATGTCGATGGACGTAGGGGCTGCTGACCCGGACCTCCCATTGTTCGGTTCTAATTTTGGTATTCCTCCGATTCCCCCTTCGGGTGAGTCTGACGATGATGCGTCGCAGTTATTTTGGGTCCCCGCGCGCCTGCACCCGGGATTGGCACCCAAAGAGTTCAAGAGCTTTCTTGATGGCAAAGCAGAGCAAATAAAGCGAAGATCCGGCGAACTTACCATGACCGATTCGGAGCTACAAGTACAAGGTTTGACTGGGGGGTTGCGGCGGAAGAAATCCATGTTATCAAGACAAATAGATACCTCGGGCTCGGGAGGCCAGAATGAAGGAAATCAGCTTGATTCAGTATCAGAGGAGGTTTCCGTCGGACAAAGGCGTGCGAAGGATTCAATGGTAGACGATAGACCTATATTACCGCCTGCTCCGCCTGGCCATAGCCTGCGGAGATCGACCCGGACAACCTACCGTAGAGGGAGCTTAAAAACAGGAGATCGGATCCCGTACTCGAGACGTGCACCAAGACAGTCCGACCCTGACGCTGAAGCTGTCGCTCGACGGTCACCCCCGTTAGGCGAAGAAGAACCGCCTATCCTGGGACTAACTCGAGTTGCGACTGACCCAACGCATGGAGGCACATCTGGCTTTTCGCGGCCAACTAACTGGTCGCCAGCCAGCTCGGCTACTAACAATCTCTCTATCTCGTCAGGCGAATCTAACTCAGATCCTTTAACCTCTGGCAATAGGACTGCTTCTACCCCGCCGTCACAGACACGGTCATCATGGGACCTTAATGACCGCTCAAATTTAGAGCCATCCGCGGCAACGCAGAACGTGCATCAAATTATACAAACTCCGCCAGCAGACGTGAAAGAATCACCAGCTACTGCTACGGCTTCTACGCCAAACCATATTCCCGTACGGAAATCTTCGCACGACCCGCCTCCATCACAACCTCCACAAGCACCCCTCCCTCCTGAGCCTATTGGAAAAAGGAGCTCCAAACGAGCCGGAATTATTAGGCCAGCAAAGGAAAGTTCCCAGACGATTAATGACATTGCTTCTCGCCCGGCAGCGCTCCCTGGAAACAGCACGCGAACGGATACGCTTTCCTTCATCCCAACCCTGACAGACAGCTCCAATAAGAAGTCGGATTCGAAGAAATCGAAAGATAAAAAGGATGGGGAAGGTGGCCGGAAATCGAGCTGGACGTGGCGTCGAGGATCCGAGGAAAAGGATAAGGACAAGAAAAAGGAGGACGAGTCCAAAAGGTCTAAGGGAAGAATGCCCAAAATAGCTGAGAAGGTACATGACAACACCCGTCTAGATCTTTTGCAGGCATCTATCGACGGAGCGCAAACAGGCCGGGAGAGCGTCGTAATCGACCGTGCGGAGGTCAGATTGGAAGAAGAACGCCGGAAAGACACTGCGAAGCGGGGCGCTGGTAATGAATCAAAGAAGGAGAAAGAGCCAAGCCTATTCTCTTCCATATTTGGAGGAAAGAAGAAAGGAAACCTTGATTATAGCCAGAAGAAACATTCGTCAAGGACACTTTCGCCCGAACCGCAACCACGCGAGCTCAAACCGGATATCGATTATAACTGGACCAGGTTTCCTATTTCCAAAGAAAGAGAAATTTACCGCTATGCTCATTGGAAACTCGCAGAACCAAAACGTGCGCTACATTCGCAAGTTCTGCTAAGCAATTTCATGTATTCGTACCTCGCCAAAGTACAACAAATGCATCCTACATTAAGTATCTCCTCTGCTCCACAGGCTCAGCACCGTAAGAGGGAACACTCACAATCCGAGGACCATTCTCAACACCAGCGGCATCAGGTGAGTATTTATTCCGGACCCAAATGTGTCCATTTTCCTACGCTTCGTATTATCAAGTTGTTCTAACCGCAAATATTTGCTTTGCAGAGCCGAGAGCATGATAATTACAATAATGGGTCATATTATAACGAATCCCACTATGACTATGATAGCGATGACCGAGATGACCATCATTGGTCTCAATCTGGAGGACGGGGTACCTCCTCTCAAAACGGATCCGCACATGGATCGAACCAGCGGCAGCAATATGGAGCCTCGCGGTCCTCGTTCGGCGATGAGGCACAACTTGACGACGATGATGACATGTGGTGATATGGCGAAACCAACATTTCGAATAATGGGAAATTAATCTTTCCAGTGTTTCTCAACTACATCCTGCCCAAACAACCAATCATCCTATTACCCTTTGCCTCGTAGTGTGTCCCACTTTAATTTATACCCATGGGCCATATCTCCCTCGATATCCACTGAGATAACCTTAAGCGCACAAATGTATTCCCCACATTCAATATCCTCCTCAGCCTAGAATTGATTCCGCTCTCCATGCACCCAGTTACCCCCCCCGACGACGGCATTTCATAAAGATTACTCCGTTCTGGTTAGATTTTGGAAATCGCACCCGGATCCCCTCTCGTCTTCTTCCTGCACTATTTTCTTTATTGAATCAATTATGACATTACTCTTTTTTCCTTTTCCTGATTTTCTTTGTTGATGGCATAGCGGCAGGATTTTGTTTTCCAAATTTCTCTATTTTCCACCCACTTATTTGTTTTTGTTTCCCTTTCCGTTCGTTTCTTCTTTTCCCTCATCTTTGTTATTTCACAAAGCTGGCAAGTTTACCTATTATACCTCATTCCTAGTCTTCTATTACCAGGCGTCTTCTATTCATGGCCCTAACACCCCAAGTAACATTTTCACTCGTCGCTTTCTCGTGTCTTGCTATTTTGGCGTGGTGTTGTATTTCTCCCTCTCTGCGCATCTCGCACTTTTTTTCTTTTTTTATTTCCTCTGCCCCTTTGAAAATTTTGAAAATTGCTATGACGAATACTGTCCTAGGTGGCATTTAACTTCGCCGGTTTTGTAGTATTCTTGTTGTTTTTGTATTATTTTTACTTGTCTTCCGCTCCCCCTGAATCGTCCGTAACTAGTTATATATTCTACATGTACGTATTCAGGACAACAGGAACACAGCTTATTGTCCGACCCCTTTTTTTATTTTTTATTTTTTATTTTTTACTTTTATTTATCACTGACCTAGAATCTTGAATGTGTCAACCACTTTCTAGGAACAGATTTTATTAATGTTGCCTGAGTGTTGGGGAGACAAAGGAGAGACAAAGGAGAGGATAATGGATCAATGTTTCTAGCTGGAAGTTTAGGGATCGCCGTCCTCTACCCCCCCTTCCACAGGTAAAGACTTGAAATAATGCCCAAAAGGAAGAGTGATTGGCGCAAAAGTGCTCCTCCTACACTGTATGTGGTTGGGAGTGCTTGGATAATAGCGCCTATCGGAGGAAAGTGCGGAGGGGAAGTGCGGAGGGAGCAAGAAGGCTGAAACACAAGCAATGATCGGATTATTGGTGTGTCAATTTTAGCTCGCGGCACAAAGGTTGTGGGGCGGAGCCGCAACCGCTCCTAGCAATTGATTGGACGGATTAAGCGCTAGTTATTCCATTGCCCGTTAGCCGCCGTTTTTAGGGAGGTAATATTAATACTGCATCCAACATGGCTGTTACAATGTACTCCTCTCAATTGACGTTTTGCTACTTAAACCTTCTACTTGTCCCCTCCATCATATGCCAAATATGACCTACCTCTTCTGTCTAGGGTAGTTTTGTAAAGCGAAAGTCGGCTACACCATACCCAAAGAGCTTCAAGGGGAGCGGGGAGGGAGCGCGGCTTGGAGTGTCCTCCCCTACCCTACCCTCCTCGGCCAACCCCCCGGGACAACATTGTGGTCAAGGGTGTGCGACATTTTCTGACCAGCAAATGAGCATGATGTTCTTCATCACTTCCAAAGTTGAACGTCGTATGTCCAGCTGTTGTCTTGACCCGTACTTACATATATGTATATACAGATCAGTTACAAGGACTTGCTCAGTGTATTCAATCTGTATGAACGCCATATCGCCAGGTGTGACTGCTATTATTAGAAGTAAATAAGCCCTGGTGGACCTCAGTCAAAGGTAAAGGAAGGGAATGGAGAAATGAGGACTGAGAAATGAAGCAAATCCGAGTGGCTCTATACATTCTTAAACAGTAAAGCCATCGTTACGGGGCTGTCCATCATGAACTTTGCAAGACATGTACGGCAGCAGTTGTTGCCTTTGGTTGAATTTTGGTTAGGTCCTGTCTTCATCTAGAAGGCTCCGCCAGTATCCTTGATGAAATTGGTCAACAAATAGTAAATCATCATGATGTTGGGCGACGTAGTTCAAATACAATACAGGCAAGCTCTTACTGAAGCCAAGTTCTATAGGGGAACGGAAACCCACATAACAGTCTTAAATCTTTTTGCATGCCATCGTACATCTTGCCGCGTATGGACTTCATTATTCGCGATATGTACGGACCTACTTATTATTTAAACTGCCTGGGTGGTGCTATGGATGGATGAATCACTTTGGGGCTAGCGTAGTGTATCCGTATCACATGATAATCACTTCGGGGCCTGCAACTTCAACCATCCACGCTCACCTTCGATCCAAGAGCTCCCACCAGAGTAGAGAGCACAGCAACTCCAAAATATCATACTTTCGTATAACTAACACCGAGACGCCGCGTTCATAACCCGATCACTCGAACATCACTCGACACCCGGTACGGAGCTAGATATTGACGGCCCCTTCTCCGCGCAGCTAGTTAAGCTGTAGTGCCACCGCAATAGAGCGCGGTATAGAATAGACACCGTTCAGATTATTTCACGGAAAACACAGAGTCGACGAGAGCGAACAGCGGGAAGGTGCCCTTTTGTACTCTGCGGGGCCAAAAAGAACAGCATTATTCATCGTCCAATTCTTCCCTCCGCTCTTCAAAATGAGTGACGCCTACGTGCGGGAACAGTATGTCAGCACCTGGTCATATCTTCTTCGCCACTCTGTTCCAGGCCATGCTATGCACGGGTCGGGGGAAGAGAGACGCAAGTGGTAAAACTAGATAAAGAAGAGCAGCGGCTAACACAGCGTCCCAACTAACAAATAGACAAAACAATGCCCTCCTGGACTCCCTCTCGCAAAAGACCAATGCATTGAAATCGGTCACGATAGATATTTACGATCATGCGCGGGATCACAGCACGCTTGATAATACTGTACGTATATCCGGTCCCCTACATATTGATGATCTGATCAAGTACTAATCGCCAATATCGACAACATAACAGAGCGAAGTATTCTCGTCGCTATCGACTAATATCAGAGGAAGTGCCGGTCGGTTAACACGGATGGCGAGACAGGGGGATAGAGTTGCCGTACTCAAAATCGCGGGAATTGTCATTGTAGCCGGATTCCTGTTGTGGATTATTTTGGGCTGGATATTTTGAAATACTGCACAGCGGGTGACGTGGGTATTGCGGAAGTCAATTTATTTATCTTCCTGCCCTTTTTTTTCTTTTCTTTTTCTTTTCTTTTTCTTTTTCTTTCTTTTTCTTACGTCGTTTATTCTTGCTAGGCGGGTAGTGGCGCACACTCCATGATTCCCAGAGGGAGTTATTATTATTAGGCCTTCGGTTGTTATGTGCCTAGTGGGCTGGGGCCTGTGCCTCGGACAGGTCGGTCTCGCTGGAACGTACTCGCGGTGTCGTGTCGTAATATTTATTTCTCTTATTCGGTTTGGTGTTCCGGTGTCTTGTGGAGTCAAACCGCATTGTTTGGAAGCTTGCTCTGTTATAAATTTGGGGAGCGGAACTTTCCGTCATATCTATATCCTTTTGTCTTCCTCTCCTAACGGATATGTTGGCTCACACACATACCTCCCATAGACATTCGCTTTACGAGTTAGCGAGCACTCATTCTGTTGCATGGTGAGATTTGATTACTAGCTGCTACTTCGAACATGTAATTATTTTTGAACTATTCTTTTCGTTTCAGTTTATGCATTTTCCTCTACATGACACATCATGCCCCTTGATCATCAGGGATGAGCCGCTGTGTATGAATGAGATAAACGACCGGTGCACGAAAAACATGCCAGCTAACTATGAAAACGGAGATGGCCAAGGGGAAGGAATCTGGGGTGCAGACAGTTACCATAAGTGCTAAAATCAACACATGCTCAACCCCAAACATTTACCAATGAATCGATTGCATACGTGGTAAATAGATGTCTAAAAACAGCATAGGCTCGCAAGAAAAAGACAAGAAAGCACAAAATGATAAAGTATTTCTTCACTCCCAAACATTAGAAAACAAATCATCGCTTCCTGAAAAACCTCCGGCCGGCCTTGGCTTCGATGTGGCATTGCTGTTCGGAATTGGCGGAGGAGCGCTTGTCCATCCACCAAAATCTTCATCAACGGCAACAGTCGGCGCTGATTTAGTCGTAGAAGTGGGTGATTGTGATCCCCATCCAGAGCCAATGTCGCTGGCAGTGATTTTATCCGGGACTTTCATCATCGATGAAATGGTTTGTTTGTTAGTTGGGGAAGTAGCTTCCGTCGTATTCCAAGCATTCCCGCCCCACGGGTCTATTGCGCTGCTTGAGAGCATGCTACTGACGTTTGCAGTGGTGGTTGGTGGGGATACAGGCGCGGACTGTCTTTCGGGTGCCGAGAGGTTGAAGATAGAATTTGAATTCTCTGTTTTTGGTGGACCTGCGGGAGGAGACGCGGGAGTAGTGATCGACATGGAGGAAAACAAGTCAAAGGAACTAGTTGAAGTCGCGGGAGGAGCTGCTGTCGCCTTCGTTGATCCCATTGTGGCCCCAACCGGATTGAAATCCCGTCCAGAAGAGATAGACGGATTATTCGATCTCTGTGGTTTTGGGCCAGAATCAAAAAACCCACCACCACTCAATGGCGGGGAAGAAATGTTTGGTGCGGTGGGCGGGGATTTGGGAGCACTAGACGAGCCGAGGTTCGAGAACGCATCTTGTTCTTGAGGCGGAGGAGAAGCGGGTGTGGTGGAAGGAAAGCTCAAACCACTAAAAGCATTGGCAAGGCCACCAAATGCATCTGACTGTGATTGAGCTAGCTGCTGCGGTTGAGGGGAAAATGATCCGAATGAGGTATTGCGTTCGTGCTGGGGCGGGGCTTGCGGCTTGGGCACTGAGGCATATAAAGATAGAATAGATTGTTTAAGGTCCGGCCTTGAAGGGCCAGTGGAGCCTATATTGGATGACGGAGTGCTGGATGAGCGGTTTGCCGCTGGCTGGGCAGAGCCAAAGAAATCCAGTCCAAGTAATGAATCGGCGGGTTTGTTTGGTTTAGGAGCTGGAGCTGCAAAGGGTCTCGTGTGGTTCGTTGGGGGGCGGATACCCGGTAAATCTGTGGTATTAGGCCTCTCGGGGGGTGCCGGAGAATCGTCATCGAAAAGATTGACTGACTGTCCTGGTCGACGCGGCGTAGGCTGGCTCACTGTTGATGCAGCGCGATGGGACGCCGATCGTTCAAGCTTGGCTTTCTCCTGGACGATGGCCAGTGGCTGTGAGAGAGCAGTAAGTAAAAGAAGGGGTGCTGGGTTAGACAACCCGCAATTTGAAAGGCTCACCATATTATCATCACCTTCATCGACATCCAAGGTTGATGGGTCAGGCATTGGTCCGTCCATTACCCACCGTTTTGATTCATACTTAGTTCTAATGAAATTCTCCATTTTCCTATAGGTCAAATTAGAATATCACTTCCGAATAAACCTCTGAGTGGGTGAGGTAAACATACGCTTCTGAGGGGATATGCCCAGGAGCAAGTTTTGCTTCCCAGTACCTAGGTATAAACAATTAATATATGCCCACCCTTGGTTCTATGCTCCTTCTGCAACGGAATTGAGATAGGACGGCGAACTTATTAGCTCTAGCGTTTCCCCATTTAAGCACACTCTGTAGTTGTTCATCCGTCCAGGTATCAAGATCAACTGATTTTACTCGGCTGATATGTGTGCCCATACCCCTGTGGATGCCCGAACAACGAATGCAAACAAAGATGCCGATATTCCAGCTGGCCCATCTAGGATCTATTCACAAAGAGGATAAATGTTAGCTATTCCTACTACATCAAATCTCTAAACATACGCCTGCAGAAGACTTAGGGCGGAGGGTGTAAGTGGAACCGGGATGTCAAAGCAGGAGACAGAGGGCTGTAACAGAATCAAAAGGGCATACGTTTATTCCGCTTACAATCCGCACAAATCTTATTGCATTCCAATTTCAGCAAATTCTTGATAACTAGTTGGTTCTTTGCTGCCCGTTCAGCGGCGGGGTTGGTCGTTCGTCTGGAAGCCATGGCGCAATGTGTGACTAGGGCTAGGGGACATGCAAAGGATAGCCGAGAGCTGAATGTACGACGCCTTTATCCTGACATAGATGGTTTTATGTTGTTGAGATATGAGAGAATGAGGGTCGGAAATAGGTCGAGTGTATCTGAGCCGCTGCCTATCTGCCAACCGATCGAATGTTGATATTTGGCGTTTGATATCTGGCGGCGAGTTTGCTGTTCCTAGCCGGATAATGACTAAGCATTGAGTGTACGCTGTAGTATAGAGACCAAATGTGCAACAGGCTTGGGCCCTCAGGCGACGTGATGGAGGAATGGAGGGAGTAGGAGTAGTTATAGAGTGAAGCTTGAATGATTGAGATATCAAAAGAAGAGGGTAACAGTGCACTGACTTATTGAACACTAAATACATACATAATTAAGTAGAGAAGTATTGGGGAAAAAAATAAAAAAATGAATAGCCTGCTGTTCCAAGTACTCATATTCAACACTCATAAATCCCCAAAAATATTTTCCCTATCCAAAAAATATCAAAAAATATCAAAAATGTCAACTATGTCCGTAACTTAGCTCTAATTCAACGAGAATTATCAACAAAATCATCTACTTCCCTCTCTCTTTCTTTTTACCCTCTCTCACGTCCCCCTCATCCTCCGTAAACCTCAAACTGATGCTGTTGACACAATGCCTCTCATCCGTTGGCGTCGGATATCCCTCTCCCTTGAAAACATGTCCCAAGTGACCTCCACAGTTGGAGCACATAATTTCTGTCCGATCCATGCCAAAAGACTTATCTTCCGTACGCACCACGGCGCCCGGGATCGAGTCAAAGTACGCTGGCCAGCCGCAGCCGGACGCGAACTTGTGGGAGGCCTTGTAGAGCGGAGCGTTGCAGCCAGCGCATCTGTAGACGCCTGACGAAGGGGAATGTTTGTTGTATTTACCGCTGCCGGGGGGCTCTGTGCCTTTGTTGCGGAGGATGCGGAACTGTTCTGGGCGGTGCGGAAGAAAAAAGGTTAGCGCGGTTGGTTCACATAAATATATATCAGGTGGGAGCGTGGAATAGCAGAGTTCGAAGGGATGGGGAAGAGAGTATTTTTGAGTATCTCATGGCGCTATGTGTACTTACCCTGGGTCAAAACCGCCTGCCATTCTTTATCCGTTCTTTTATCGGGGAACTCCATTTTCTTCTTGTTCTGGGTGGATGAACTGAAAGCAGAGAAGAAGGAAATCGTTGGCATCCAGCCGATTAGGACGGTTTTGTGACCAGCTAGTGATGGAGGACCTCCACGCGCAAAGCAGGGAAGACAGAGTCGGAGTTGAGTTGAGTTAGAAGCGAGCTGTCGGGATATATGAGAAATGTGGAGAGGACGTCTTTGGAGATGGAAACGGAGATGTTGAGGCGAGAAGCGCATGAGCGGGAAGTGATACGTACTAATCACGAAAGGGTCGTTTACAGCGTATAGGGTGCTGCTAGAAATATAGGGAATGATGCCAGCGCTAAGTGGAGCATAGAGTTGGCGGCAGACGCATAAGCATAAGGATGAAAGTATAATAAATAACTAAGCGTTCCGTGGTGTAGAGTGTGCTGGGTCTGTAGTCTCATTCCACTCCATAATGATGATTCCAAAAATGTTCCTGCAACTATGACCTCATATATCTAAAATTTGACCCCATCTCATCTGCGGGGCAACTCGGTTGAGGGATCTCTTGTGAAAACAAATGATCAATCCAATATGCATTTCTCTAAATATAAATACTCAATGAGTAGTAATCGAGTAGCCAGATACATGTATATATGGAAAATTTTGAATTTTAAATATTAGCTTGTTATAATCTGTCATTGAGGGGTCATTAAATAGCACAAGTCTTGGTAATATTTACACACATACACCAAACAAACCTGAACTACAAAGTTCCTGGAGCAATAAAAGGCGTCTCTTCTATGAGTCTACCCTGTAATCAATGGCAACAAAGAAATAGTAAGTCCCCCAGTAGGAGCAAATATCCCGTCAAAGCCCAACGAGGAACCCACGCTCACCGGCGCCTAGCCATCCCCATGACCGTCAAGTAGCCCTCACCAACCTCAACCTTCCACCCTTCATTAGCCAAAGCCCGCGCAACCGCCGGACCCACCCTCGCAGTTCCATTCCGGGAATGGCGACCGAGGCCCGTGATGATGCGATAGCCCTCCTGCACGGGGCCCCAGCCACCAGGGGCATATTTGGTATCTCCAAGTGAATCCCACCATGCTTCCACCTTTCTCTTCGCGATGCTAACAGCATGTTGGACACTTACGCCGTGCAAGTCCAATAATCTGCTATTGGACTGAGACTCCACGAGTGCGTCCGCGGCAGCTGCGGCTTCCTTTTTGGCCTTTTCCATATGGTCCCGACCTACTGCGGAGTAGTACCCGGCCGCACCGCCCATCAGATGATCCGATTTGGCACGGCGGTAGGCTGAATTGGCCTTGTTGAAAGCGCTGTGGCCTGCGATGATGTGAGAGTCTGCTATCGATCTGCTTGTGAGGTGGTCGCGGCGAGGCTGCGGTGTCCATGAAGGGGTTTTCTGAGAGTGCGCTGGGGAGTCATCCAGGTTTATAGGGGCTTGTTTTATTTGGACAATTCCTCTGGCTAGTGGGGGTGGTTTGACGGTTATCATCACGGTTGCAAGCTCGCTTGCTGCTGAGGTTGAGTTCCTGGCTAGTCGAAGCAATCCGGCAAGTTTCTCGGGGGAAACTTTATGGAACTCTTGCTGGAGTTCTGTTATTTGGGTGATTGTGACTGAATTATTCATCATAGCCTTCGCGTGTTGTTCTGCCTCTGTGGATGCAAGAGAGTGCAGTGTGTTTGGGAGGGATGCTCCATTCAGATGGTACGCAGAAGTCACAGAATTAGGCGATAAGTAAGTTCTGGAGCAGATAAAGTCGACATCTCTTTTACTGTTTTCCCATTTGTTGTCCACCTTGTTGATTTTGTGATGCGTCAGGGCTGATGATGCCCTCATCTGACGTTGCGAAGCCTGCTTTCCCGATGACTGCTTATTCCTTGTTCTTTTTCGACCTCTTGATTGGATGTTGCTTTCGAATCCATCGATTCCCTTCGGTATTGACACTCTACCCTCCTGGTCATCCGCGCTTTGGTCTTCAAAAAATGCTAGGTTGAGCAACACATCCATCGAGCGATCAATATCCTCACCGCATTTTCTTAGAGTATGAAGAATCGTGTACTGATCAATTGACGGAAACATATCCATCAAATAAGTCATCTTGCCCTCGGCAGTCAAGCCTGCAATTCGAGAAACACGGTTAGAGGGTTGTTCGGTATCGGTATGATGTCCACTCCACAGTCCACCATAGTGCGAGGGATTCTGGTTTTCCCCCAAGCTAGCTGCCGAGAAGTCCGACTCGAGGCTCGTGAGGTTCGACGTTAAAGAGTCCAGGGTTGGATGCGATCCATCTTGCTCTGACGCAAGCTCGTCCTGATCCCCTGCGATGTGACCCTGGCCGCTTGTGCCAGAGGGGTCAAATGCAGTATTTTCTTGCTCATCAGCGGAAGCCTTCAGGGCGTCTAGCGTGTCGCGCAGTTGCCGAACGGTATCTTCGTCGAGCAGGTTATAATCGCTTGCGATAGCCACGAAAAGGGCCGGGTCGAGCGGTGGGCAGTATTCATATTCCAAGCCCTACCGCATCAGGACGTACCATATAGCTGTTAGCAAGATTACCGCTCAGAGCTCAGGTATGTTATGAGTTTTAAATTACCACGAACTTTCATGAGGCTTTCAACAGGTTCATCCATCAGGGAAATCGGAGCACTTAGGTCTGGGTGCTGGTCTATGAAGCAGTGGCATTGCTCTGCGAGAAGTGGAAATAGCAGTAGATTGACGCGGGGCTTGCATGTACCGTAGAAGCAACGACAAGAACAGCGCACAATGAATTGAAATATGGTCCTGGGAACACGAACAAATGGAATTATGCGGACTAGTCAGAATGTGTAAAAAATGCAGGCTGAAATGCCGGCTACCATCAATGACGAATACTAGGTCATCGCGAGATAGTGATCAATCGAACCAAAGGTAGCCGCTCGCGAAAATAGAAAGCAGTTAGAAATCAGGCCCAAATGATAGGCATCCATATGGCTGTTTATTGCTGGCCGTGCTGCGGAACTGATGAACATTATGCCAATTAAATCCAAACCGCAGCCATCGTCATGGAGATAGAAGTCACTTTTCGACGTCGTGCGTGGAGTGAATCACGACCACCGGCTGACTAATCCAACCCCTCTTGGCCTTATTCCCAACCAACAGTCAACGAACATTCATCTTAGAACATCCAACCAGTGTCATTGGCGCAGTCAGACAAGGAGTCGACTGCCCAAGGAAGCAAATATCTTCTGCAACCTGAAGAAGGCTGAAGTTGATGCTTTGATCAGCATACACTGCCAAGAATAACAGCAATCAACCCATGATAGACTTGGGTGCCCAGCTGCCGTAAGCCAATTTCCCCCCTCTGAAAAGAAGAAGCAAGGAGAACAATTTGACCAGCTGACCGTTCGTTGAGCTCTCTCTTCGAATGAGCGGTACGAAAAATACGAGCATCAAAGGAGCATGTGGGTGCGCATTTAATTTCCCGTCCGCCTACCAGGCGTGTTGTTGGAACATTCTTCTTGCGCGCGCATCTTCATCGATTGTTTTTTCGTATATTCAATGACATTGCCTGGATCCCGACGATTCCGGCGGCGGATTAAGAGGAAAAAGAAGCCACACGCTCTCTCTCTCCGGGGTCTTAATCTTAATTCCTTCAGGCAAATGTTGATTTGATACTTTCTTCATAATTTTCACTGCTGTAGATCTTCATTATTCTCATGAAATCTACTGGGCAACTGCTCCAATATTTTCTTTTATTATATCTTGGTCCGATATTAGTTGTCAAATGCATATTGCATATCTCCACTCTTCTTTTTGGCTATTTTTCTCTAGAATTCAGCAACAAATGGTCGGGCGCAAGTTACAGGTCGCCCTACATATTTGAATCTTCAGAGAAAGAAATTTCACCTCCTTTTCTTCTTTTATACCTTGGTGTTGTTTTGGTTTTAGCTCCTCAGGTTAAATCCGAGATCTGAAATCTGAGGAGGAAACACAGTGTCTAGTTCATACTATGTTGTTGTCTCTTCTCCTTTCATAATTGTACAGGTCTTTTTTTGTTTCTCATAATCAAAAACAAATCTCTATATATACACGCACACACACACACACATCTTCACTCTTGAGATCTTCTCCTCTAGTAGTTTATGCACACTGAATCTCTCTGCATCTTGTCATCACACTCATATTCCTTGAGACATCTGGCAATATCCTATATTCTCTTCCCAACTCTCTGCTGAACCTGAAAGTGTCCAATCAACAATGTGCCAGCTCACTATGGTTAACATGAAGCATCAGTGTGGGCATTCTGTTGACAGCTTTGGATATCTCCTGCAATGCCCCGTGTCTATCTCGAACATGACCACCTCTTGCCAGTCTCCATCGACGAACTGGAGCTTCGGAATCCGGATCTTGCGTAGCCCTTGCCCTGACTGCCTCGACAAGGGTGGCTGGCAGCAAAGTGCGCTGGGAATTTGGCGACAGGTAACGCACAGTAAGTTATCTGTCCTAAAAAAAGGAACGGATTTGCATTGACACAGAGAGCCTTGCTTCATCTATAGCAGGAACAGCGGTTTCCGCAGGTTGACTACAATTACGGGGTGGAAATATCATCAGTTTTATGAATACACCAATAGGCATGTATGAATATCAATTCTCAGATCTGTGTGGACAAAGCTAATCTATTCATCTTCAGGTGTGAACTTGCTAGTTTTATGTGAAATTCAATCTCAATGAATGCAAATGACAAATGTTCAGTGTTAATATTCATGTTGTTTGAAGAAGTATAAATTTATTGACTTATGGAATCGGTGTTTTATTTTCTATTTTATTTTCTCATCTTGCTTGATCTTCATCTTTCTTCATTCCTTTAATATCAATTTTCATAGTTTCTCATCAGAGCAATTATCTCAGAAGCAAGTGCCTTCTCTCTCTTATTAATAAATTCATCAGCTCCATCACAAACCATCACACACAATGGTACTAAATGAATATAAACTCCCCTTCAGGCTCACCAGAGCTGACATCATTAGCTTAGGGTCAGTGAGCATTGTCTTTGCTATTGGGGGTTGCATTGCACTAAAGGCACACATTGCCCACCAAACATTCCGCTCACCGATGAGCAAATCTAACAATCTGCAGAATCCCTCACCTCCCTCGAGCGTGAGAAGCGCATCTACGATATCCTCAACCACCACCCCCACCCCAACACCCTGCAAACAATCCTGCACTGCCCTGGCGGAATTTTCATGCCCCGGATGTCCTGCAACCTCGACCATAGGATGAAAAACGACTCAAATTCCATCTCAGCACCCTTGCGCCTTCGCTGGGTAAAAGAGCTTGCCAGCGCAGCGGAACACTTAGAAAGCCACGGGTTGGTGCATGGTGACATTCTCCCCGCCAACACCCTCCTAGATAATAACTTGCATATCAAACCCGCCGACTTCGGCAGCCGCGTCAGCACAGGCGAAGCCTGTCTAGCCTTCATCGTGCCGTGCCATGATGCCTTTGCGGAGAAAGCCAGCTACACCGCGGAACAATTCACCATCGGCTCATTCATGTACACCGTGTTCATGGGCGTTGAACCAGAGTTTGAGATTACTGGCAGGAAGCTGCGGGATGAGAAGTTCCTGGAGACAAGCGGGATACTTGGCGAGGATATCATTGCGAGCTGCTGGCGGAAGGAGTATGTGTCCATCGCGACTTTGGCTGGGGAGATTGAAGAGTTGGAGTTGGAGTTGGCGTTGGATGATGAGAGGGATAGCGATGGGTGCGAGATGTGGTTTGTGGCTAGCTCGAATAGTTCGCGTTCTGTGTAGAGGGTGAGTGGACAGGCTGATGCGGAGGTACTTGAGGAGGGTAGAATTGAGAAGCTGCAGGTTATTTGCTGAGGCTTGTGCAGTTGTTTAAACACAGTAATTGATGTGATTGATTGTACTATGCTGTTCGTGTATCCTTCTTTCATATTGACTACTTTGTACGCGTTATTAAGGCTGTTTTTTGCTGGGAGGGTTTGGCGAGTAACGATAAATATGTTGGGCATAGTCCTTCAAGCAAACTTTCCCACGTAACTAACTGCTTTTGATCTTCTCTCTTCATCCATTGGATGCTTCATTGTGGGAGACTACTACGTCTACTCCATACTGCACCCATATACGGAGAAGCTACCATTTTCCGCTATGATTGCCTCGGTGAGCAGATGGAGGGCGACCACCCAGGGGGGATCGTTAAAGTTAGGACAATTGAAATACTATCCATTAACAACCAACGCGTAGAAACGGAACGGGCACCGGGACAGAACTGGGTGGCTAATTGAGGCCACAATCCAGCTTCCTGCGCCCAACAACTCCCACGCAGAGTTAAAAAACCCTCACAGTTAAAATTGGAATTAGTAGGTAGATGTTTCATTTGATGAAAAATAATCCTCGATCACATCTATTATGTGTTTATTCTGCTTGATTGATTGCTTACTTTCATCAATCGCTCCTATCAGGGAGACACATTACAATAGGAATATCAAGTGTAACATCAAAGGATGTTCATCCCTCCATCCATTTCTAAAAAGAGGCCATGTCTGGAAAATGTCGTTGAAAGTAAGTGGAACCAAAAAAGAAATGTAAACTGCGCATGGGTTTCACGCTTCTTAACTTTTATCCTCCAAATTCGTGTGCTCATTAGGCAAAAGGAAATAGGACGGAAAAAAAGGCAGGAAAGCTGAGAGAATAAACCGAAAACAAAATGTCGCAACTCAACATGGAACAGTGAAGCCACCAAATGTAATGTATGCATGATCCCAGTCTCCGTTTTACGCCGAAATTTCGGCTCGAAATTTAGAGGAGACAAAGACAAAAGGGAGAGAAGAAAGAAATAGGCAGATCCCACACTCGCGTAAAACGCCTAGCTGAAGTAGGTAATTTTGGGTACTGGCACAAGAACGTAGCAGAACATGGGAAGATGTGCATCCCGGGATAAGGGTAATAGATGACAACTGTAGGTATTCTAAAAAATTGTACCTCTTGATTCTGAAGTGACGAAAAATAACGAAGTAGAAGAAAGGGAAAAGATCTAAGAAGATTTAATCTCAGCAACAAATTCAAAGATATCACCGCGAAGTGTCGGATTATAATCCGCAATTTCTATCAATTTATTCTTGGAAGAGAAGAAGAGAACATAATTCCACGACTTATTCCCATGTTTTGGGCCAGCAGACTCCTTTGGCAGATTGCGAATAATGTTGCGCAAGATGAGGATGGCCTTGTACGCGATTCCGACGGGGTCACCTTTCTCGTCGACAGGGGTCGGATAGTAGTCGAACATTCGCGTAAGTTTTGGCTGGATGATTTTGCGCGAGGGAGGCGGAGGTGGTGAGCTCATATCCATCAGTGGTGGTAGGTGGGTGGAAACATGGCCGGCGACACGCGCAGTGTTGATCGTGGGGATTTGGAATTCCCCACATGTCTCCCAGGCACAAACGTTGGTCGGACGATGGGCATCTTGCAAGTTACCTAAATCAGCCGGGTTGAGAAGCATATGCTCGCGGAAAACGTGATCTTTGAGCTTCGCGGGGTCAATGAATGCTACTCTGCATTGGCCACTGGGACCGTTCCACTTGCACTGGTGGTATGGATATCCGTTGAAGTCGTAAGACGTCTCGAGAGGGCGGATACCTCTAATAATGAATTTGGCAACTGCGCCGGGGACAACCTGCGCCTGAGCTGTGGAGAATGTGCGGCTAACAGTATTAATAAACTCCGCCGCTGGAAGGGTGCTTACACCAGGTACTCGCTCATCCGCGAAACAGTTCTGATAAGCGTGCCAGAGGGCAAGTTGAGTTATATCACACTCCGGATCTTCAATGAAGCAGCACTTGAGCCAGCGAGAGCAACGTTCAGGTTCAGGGAGCCGCAGTAGCATAGCGTGGAGATCGGGTGGGACAATAGGAATAGTGGTTGTGGCGGGTGCCTTGCATTCTTCTTGATCCACTATCTCGTTGATGTCTCGTTCGCCCTCGAATAAGAGAAGATTCGTCAAGCGAGGGATCAGAGTTGTTGGAAGCGAGAAATTGCTAAGGAGATCTTCGACATTCTCTGGAATGGCTGTGTACTGATAAAAGAAATCGAGCGTCCCAGAAAGAAGTTCTTTGTCCTGTTCGAGTAGTGTGTAACTCATGAGCATACTGACTTTATCATCAGGGACGCCTTGAAGACGCTTGATCGTCTCAAGTTCCATCGAGTAGAGGATCATAATTTTTAAAGCAGTCAGGATATGGTATCTATCAGATGATCCCAAAAGTTCAAATAGCGTATTGAAAAGAGGATCGCCTGGGTCAGTTTCCCAGTAGGGGCAGACTTGCTCGATCGTGTCCAGAGCATAATTTAGAATTTCATTAAAACGTGGTTGTCGGGGGCTGTTCAGTACGACAAGCATGCCATCCTTGAAAATTTCTAAAGTAGACAGAAAAACGGCGTTTGTTTCCAGCATCGACATGTTCCGCAACGTCAGAGCAGCTTCCTTGATATTTCTAAGATGGTGTGCAAATTCCTCAGTCTCCACGTTGTCACCACCGAGCGTGATTGGAAATTTTGCCATTTTTTCTAGGATGTCCGTATTTCCAGTGCCGTATAAGAGATTGTCCCTTGGCGCTTCGAGCGAGGTGTAATCAACCTCCCATCTGATACCGGACACGAGATAAGTAATCTCCATTATTTTCTCGACAAGCTCCTCTGCGAGAAAAGGGAAATCATCGAACTTGAACTTGTCCCCTCTTTCGTCTGATATAACTACCAAGTGATGCAGCGCGAAATCAACTTCGGAGGGGATGCGGGATTGCAAACCCTTGACACAGTGATTGTAGATGCGAGGAGCTAAAGGGGGAAACAGCATTCTTAGATTCATTGTCTATCAGGTGGCAACAATGCATGACAATCGCAAAACAAAAAGCAAAAAGGTAGAACTGGCACGCACTTTTTTCGGGTATCATTGACACCATCATTGGATCCATAGTGCGCGGAAGAGGCGGCTGGTCAACCTGGGAGTATCTACCCCGGCGGTTTGAAGGTGTATCGACAACAATTGTGTGCATGGGCGTTCTATTGTCCATGTATGGAGAGTGTGTTGTAAAGGACATCGTAGCGGTGGTGTTATTGTTGGTGGCTGTTGTTGCAGGTGTCGAGGAGGGAGAATACGAGAGAGTAGAAGGGAGCGAATTGTTCAAGTTGGCGGGCGTGCCTGGCGGATTGCCCCCGCTCCGTGTTTGTCTGGTTGCGGGGCCCGTCGCGGTGTAGGGTTGGCGCTGAGGAGGAGCCCGTCGGAGGCCTAGTAACAGAGCGCAACCATATGTCAGTATTGTTCAAGCACCGGGCGGGGACAAAGAGAGCCGGGAAAGGTGAGGCCTTACGGGGGCCGGAGGGAGGGGTGGGTGGTGGAAGGGGTGGGTGTTGAAAATCATCAGACTTACCCCTCGCGGCCCGGGCGTCCGCAGGGCTCCCATCAGCCGCCACTGGACCATTCATGAGCACCTCCAACGGCCTATCAATTTCCTCAAGTAAGAAAAGAAATGTCCGCTCATTCAACTGAGACTTCCAGCCCTCGGGTGCGCGTGTTGAGTACTCACAGGAGCCACTTATGGTAGAGGTCCTTAACGTTCCACGACAGGGTAGTCGCCTGCGTCTCAGGTACTCCCACAAGACCGGCAATAGCGCACCAATTGTCTTTGTCCCTGGAAACCTCCGCAAAGCCCCCGCGGTCAAGGACTTCGACAAAGAGGGTATGGGGATTTATTTTCTTCCGATTTACCTCCCAGTAATGTCCTTGGATTAGCGGGACAGCGATCGGGTAGCTATAGAAGGCAAAAGAGAACGAAAAAGAGAAAGTTACGGATTAGCTGACGCCAGGTCAAACAAAGGTGTATATAGGGACGAAGGGGTGTATAGATATCAGAGCGCAGGAGAAGGAGGTATAGGCGCAAACCTACTTCCGGCCATGGTGGACACGGCGCAACGCGAAATAAAAAGCAGCAGGGTCAATCCGGATCTGGTCTAGCGTCACTGGCGGCTCCATTGGTGGGTCTTGGCGAAGAGGAGGTCACGTGGATTAGCTGGCCAACCAGCGCGAGACGAGAGGAGCAAGAAATGGAGGGTAAAACAGAAAGGTTTGCTAAGACAAGGAAACTAAAAAATTATCACTGGATTTTCTCATTCATTAGGATGTGCACAGAGAACTATGTGAATTGTGCTCTGATATCTCTCTCCACAAAGAGCTTTAGGCTCCTGGAACAGGGAAGATGATTGGCAAAAAAGGCAGGGTTGATTTGTTGATGAAGCTGTTCACGTGACAAGAAGTGGATTGTTTTGAGAAGGCGGTGGGGAATGCTGGCCTGTTGGGATTAGGTAAGATCGCGGTCACATGACAATTCCCAGTTGCTTCCCAAGAGTCTCAGCTTGCAATGCATTCAGCAGACTTCCTCTATTATTCTACTACAGACGCTAGCGCAGTTATTTGGGATTAACTAACCCATTGTTCTGCTCATTTCCCCTCAGAGAGCTTCCAGGCAGAGATAATACGCCTCCAATCTAGTAGTACCTCCCTACCACCGTCGTGCACGGACGGGAGGGTTCTAACCAAGTTACCATCCCCTTTAGGAAATTGAGGCTCTTCGCATCCAATGAGCTTATTTCATCCTCACGTCGTCTTCTCCCTAACTGCTACCACAATGGTAACAACTAGGATCATTTCCTTGCTGAACAAAGAGTTCAATTTGCTGGTGTTATTATACCTCTCCTTGCAGAGTTAGCTTCTCGTTAGAGGTGTTGCAGGGCAGCACAGTGCCCCTACCCCTTTTTAGGTAGCCGCAGCAAGAATTTGTCTACCTATTATGTCCACGAAATGGCTTCCAGCACCTTCACAGGGATCATTGAGTCCAGAATAGACTCGCTGAATATCCCCATTTTAAAATTTTCCTACTCCACTACTTCAGCAGACCGTGCCTCTCCCTTAGGATGGACGCACCTCTCCAGCAGCGGTGACCTCGCGGTTATTTTCGATCATATCTTACCCCACGAGACCTCCTCTTCGTTCTCGCAGGGGGATCAGCGTCTGAGAGTGCTTCGGGGGAGTGATCTCTTGGTATGTAGTTCCATGGTTACGCTTATAGAGATTTGTCTCACGCTGGGAACCTGGCATCTAGGAACAACTTAATTTGAATTCTTTGGCCAGAGAAGCAGCAGCGGGGTCATCCCATTCCCTCATGCAGACTGCGAAATCCCCGGTGGCCATCATCGTAAAATCTCCTTGTCTAGCTGTGCGCTACCCCATGAGAAACGATCAGGTATAACCAGAAGAACGCTTTGGCTATCTGTTTACTGCTAAGCGCTCTTTAGACCCGCCGTTTCCAGATCAAGTTCCCCTCCGATGCTGATTACTCCCATGCTGTATCCGTATTGAGTCAACTTGGCTGCCCAATCACACATTCTGCAGCAGTCCCCCCTCACCAGGCTTCGTCCAATCGTCCATTCTCTTCCTCGTCCCAAACTCCTCTATTGCAGGTAGGTAAGGGCGAACACACAATGTCGCCTGCAATCTCAAATCGACCAACAGTGGACCAACACCGGGTACTCCCATGGTCCCCTTCCTTGACAGAGCCCAGCACGTCAGGGTCATGTATTAGTTCATTCAACAACAACTCAACAAATCCAAGCTCCTCCGAAGAAGCCCGAGGGCGACCACACACCTCGGCGCTGTCTATTCCTCAGACAGGCACTCCCGGCATTACTACAGCTCGTTTGCATAACCTAGCTACAGACGTACCATCAGCCACCCTTTTCCATCCAATGCATCGTCATATGTCCCCTCTCTCTTCGAATTCTGCAGGCACTAGACAAACAAGCGACTGGTCCTCCAAAGAGCGGCCTGCCGCAGCCCCCGTAATGCCTGATGTAGAATCTCTTAGTCTGATTTTGCCCCCCAAAAGAGAGTTGCCTTTCGCTAAGCCTGGAAGAAAAGCCGGTTCGAAGCAGCCGTCTCGTTCTCGACCACCTTCCGGGAAACAAGCATCAAAACCTACTCAGTCTTGTGGTAGTTCCTCTTCCATTTTCATCTCTCAGTCACGGGCCTCTACTTCGAATACGACAAACGAAAACCCTCCGTCCGTCACCAAGCAAGGAGGTGGCGAGGCCACGATTACTACTGAGGCAGTCAATAGCAGCTACGCAAATCCCAATCCACGTTTCCGTCGGCACTTGCCCCAGGAAATTCTTCTCCCGGATACTCATAATGTTGGGTCAAAATCGATAGACATAGCTGTGGCCGAATCCAGTACATTGTTCGCTAACAGCGTATCACTAGCTTATCCCAACGACGGAAACAATGCATCAAGCACAAAATCCCTCACCACAGCAGCAATTTCAGCTAACCCACAGGCCTCGGCCGAAAGAGCCGTAGGAGGACTCATTCCCCTTACATCGCGGGAAAATATAAGCGAGATATCCCAATCCGATTTATCGGCCTACCTATCAACTCCAAATTCAGAACGGACCGCTTTGGTCGAGTCTTGGGTTTGCTCGCAGCTAGAGAGTGATGCATTCCTAGCTCTCTGTCAGGATGTCGAGGGCGTGTGGGGGAGAATAGCCTTTGGCTATTGATATCCATACACATACGCATCAAAATGTGTTGGTGGGATTTCATTGAGCTAACTGCTGTATCATTTTGATATTTATCTTCACTATCCCAACATATATTTTAGACCCATACCAGAAGTCAATCACAGCTATACAAGAATGACCCCAGCGTATTCCATCACACTTACCTCCAAGCCATTCCTTAGTATCCATCACGTGTCTATGGTTCAATTTTCCAGCGCACCCGCCATTATCTTTATTGCTAGACTTATAAAAATTTTCATTAATACTTAGACAGTGATTGCTGTTTGATCGGAACACAAATCAATTAAGGCTAGTTAATTCGTCGAATGACAAATGTACAGTACATATGATTAATGACACACTGAAGAAATTGAGTAGCCGAAAAGTAACAAGGCTGCCAGATCCAATCAATAAGCACTCTTAGCATCTCATCTTCCCGGATGTATGCTCGATGGAAAGCATAGAATAGATAAAAAAAATTAAAGAGGCAGGCTAAAATAGATGAGGATAACACAATTAAATTCAATATTAATTCATATATTTTTCATATTGCCACCCACCCTTCAATCAATTAATCAATTAATGTAGCCAGCCATAAGAGCAAAGATAAAACCAAAAGTTCATACACACGCCCAAGCTCGTACAAGTACAGACAAATGACCAAAGCCGCAGTTCTGCAACTTGAGAAGTAGGAGTTAAAAATAGAAAAGAAGCAGATAAATAAGATACAAATAAAATGAGTATGAGATTAAATGTGAGAGGAAAAAAGACCTTATGGAGAAAATATGCGCCATGGATACTAAATGTAACGCAAAAATCAGAAGCAGAGGGGTTAAACGAATCATTGAAATTTGGGGTGAAGGAGGAGGAAGTGGTGGAGGGTGTTGAGTACAATCTAATATATATATATATACATATATATATAAATAAACCCGCCCGCCGCCTTAGAAAACAAAAGAACGTTAAAAGAAAAAAAACCGAACCCCCATGTCCCAACCCCGAAAAAGCAAATAGAGATTTCCCATTTGGCCTCAATCAATTCTGTTCTACAAGTTGTGCTCACCTTCTTTCCACTCTCTGTTTTGAACAGAAACCCGCCATCCGACGACTGCCCAAAATTAAAAAGGGTTAAACAGGAGAAAAGAAATTCCACACCAACATGCAAACCAACACATCAATTTCAGCTTCAGCCTCCAGCAAGCACATTCAAATACCCCTTCCTGGTCAGCCTTGTAAAATCAATGAACATCGGAAATGACGGTGCCAACGCCTGTTTCTGCTGCTCCGCGCCGGACGGCTGCTGATGAGGTAACCCATCCGCAATTTCCCCCGGACCACCAGAAGTGGCTGCAGCGTTAGTCTCCTTCTCGTAGGCCGGGACATTACCAGCAGATGTACCCGGTGGCGACGATGCGTTCCCACTACCAGCTCCACCAGCTCCAACGGCTAAATCGGCCAAATGCTGCAGCGAGCGCTGTTCCTTCGGCCCCACAACCGGCGGAAGAGCCGATCCGGGCCCCATCGCGCCGCTGCTACCGCTAGTGGAGGCGCCTTGTGGGCCCGATTGTTGGGGTCGGCCCTTTGCAAGCTTCGTTTGGATGAAGGCATGTATACACGCATCCCAGCTGGGCGTGGCGAAGATATTCTCAAACTCTCCCGCCGTCGCCGAGTATTTCTCGCGATGCGAGATGACCTGTAGTGCTTTCTCTAACGACTCCCACGCGTCATTTGCGAGGTCTGGCAGATCGGTGATTTCAAGGAGTGTTAGTACGGCAAGGGAGAGGAAGTGAACGTGGAATGGTGTTGTTGGGGTCTGGGTCGTTATTGCTGTTGTTTCAGAAGTCTGCGATTGTGACTGTCTGTGAAGGAGGTCGATGATGACTTCTGCCGGGTAGAGGATTTCGGAAGGGGTGTAGGTGAACAGATGTCGTTTGAGGAGGAGAGTGATGAACCAGAACATGAGTGGGGAGAGTTCGTCGATACGTGCAGCGGTCAAGTTGTCACCGCTGCCGTCGAGAGGGAGCTGTTCGACATCTCTGATACGATTCAGTTGACCGTACATGTTGCGCTTAAGAGCGCGGCTGGTGCCGTAGTTCGACAGTGTATATGGGGTGATATCGAAAAGGAGTTCGTGGATCTCTGTTAAGAGTGTAGAATAACCTGTGGTAGAAATATTTTGTCAGCCCCTATATCCATTGGAAAAAAAGAAAAAGAAAAGAAAAGAAAAGAAAAAACCAAAGATATCAAAGATAATATAAAACATACGCGATATTTGCAGTGGTCCAACACCAAAAGTCTGTCGATCTTCAAGCGTGGCAGTTTCGTGGGTATCAAAAAGGTCAGGACCCGCTACAGCAACGGCGTGCCAACGTGATAAAATTCCGACGACAATCCAATTCCGCCGTGCGATATTCCCATCAGAATCAGAATCCGTGTCATCTGGATTGCTAGTCCTGATCTGACCCAGATTTTTCGCGATATGATACGACAGAGGGTATGCGAACTCCAAAAGAAGTGATTTTGATAGACCATTCTGACCACGCAGATTTTCCGGGCCACGAGTGTCCGCTTCAAGTACCATCAATAGTATGCTTTGAAGAAGCACAAAGTTAGTTGACATTGACCTGGAAGATGGCTCTTCTCGAAACGAGGAGTATATCCGATCTTGAGCTTTTTCGAAGGTTGGGATTTGTTGGAATTGATCCCCAGCACGGAGCAAACTTGCTCCAGTGACTGCATAGAGACAGTGCAGGAACACCTCTTTGATCTGACGATTAACTTGTTGGAGATGATCCCGGAATCGATCCCTTGAATTGGGCAACACGGGTAAAATGGGATGGATATGATTATAGTAACTATTCGGAGGAGGTAATCAGCAAACTGAAATGCTTATCGGGTATCGGAGCGACATGCGAATGGAATGTTGACTTACGCGTCAAAAACCTTGTCATCTAACTCAATCGGCCGCTGGGGTTCATGACCCAACCCGCTGATATCGGTTTGCTGTCCTGCTGTAGTACCTTCTTGTGACCAGAACGGCTGACTAACCTTAGCAGATCCATTGGTCAGGAGTGTACTGGAATACATGTCGACGCCAGCGCCGCCATCTCCCTGGGGAACCTGAGACTGGTCTTTACTAGGCGTTTGGACAGGCCAACCTCCAACTGAAGAGGGACGCCCATTTTGGGAAAATTGAGGTTGCATAAAAGTGTTCGGAAGACCTTCTGACATAGAGTATGTCCTCTTGCGGGATAGAAGATTGGCGTCCACTGGGGATGAAAAATCCTGGTATCCACGAGGAGACGTGTCATCCTGCATTGGTTGGTACTGCATATCAGATTGGGCGATTCCAGGATGCATCTGATTTTCAAGGCTGTTGATACGGTCGGCAAGCTCTTTTATGTACCTATTGAACGATATTAAGCTCTGAAAAAGGTTATATTTGTTTGCGGCAAAATCAGGGGGAAACGACGGGGCGGGGCGCACCCTTTACTAGGACCACGTTTCATGGGGACCCTACTAAATTCACAAGTCGCATTGGTACGGCGGCAGTTAGAGCAAGTCTCAACCCCTGCTTCTGAGGTCGCATCACATCGAACCTGTATTTTGTTAGTTAAACATGAAAGTTTACGACTAGAGGACTACGCATTCGAGTCACCTTCTTGCGCCTGCACTCGTCGCACGCCCGTGACACCTTGGATCGTTTCCGTCGCGCACTTTGATCACCATAGCTCAAGTCATGATTTGGGTCAACTCCAACTTGCTGATTGGGTGTGAACTGAATGAGATGCGATTGTTGGTGTTGTGGTGGTTGCTGCTGTTGCTGCTGTTGCTGCTGCTGCTGCTGTTCTTGTTGTTGTTGTTGTTGTTGTTGCTGATGCTGGTCATCTGGCGTAGCGCGATTCATGTCGGCCGCGCCAGAATTGGACTGGCCCAAGACCATTGGCTGGCCATGGCCAATTGCATTAGTAGAGCCATCGTTGATATTCGCAGCAGAAGCCTCGCGCGACAATTCAGCGGAGAGATGCAGTTCATCCGCGGTCAAATGTCTGGACTGGTTGGCGTAGTAGGACATGGTGGCTTGGCCGATTTGCGCCGCGTTGGGAGAAGGGTACGAGTGAGCCGGAGGGATCTCAGAATGATCTCTGGAATTCATAGTATCCGGATCACCTGCAGGAACGGCAGAGCGGGAGGGTTGTGGTTTAAGCGGATCTCCGGAAGGCTGGTGCGCGGTATAGTCTTGAACAACGCGGTTGTTAGCCATGTGCAGATGGTATTAGCGTAATGGCAGGCGTTACTTGAGTCTACGGAGCCATTAGAAGGGAAATATGGAGAGTTAGCCTCGGGTACCAGCAATTGCAACTTGGGGGGTCCCCACAGGCAGCCAGTGTTGGCATCACCCGGGTAGACAAGACTCACGATAGCATACTCTGGAGGCAGCTTTTCGATGATGATCGCATCCGCCAGTTAACGTTCTGTGGACGGGGTCGAGACGGAGGACGGGGATTGTTTTATGCGGATGAGAAAAGGGCGAAGGGAGGAACTTTTCGTGCGGGATGATTAATAATGCGGAAGGCGAGGCTAGAGCGGATCAACAAATGTCCGTGGATCATGTGACTCGCGGCAGTGTTCCAACCTGTGTGGGATGGATGGTTAATCTGTTCTTGTGGGAGGAGCTAGCTACATTAAATTACATATGAGATCACGTGTAGGCGGAGCGATTATACCGGAAGAACGTAGGGTTATTACACCGTCACACTCTGATACTGAAGAGTTTTCATCAGTTGTCTGACTAGTACTTCCCTGCTTCAGAGATCTCTGCTTAAGACTCAATAATACTCAATTCTTAGAGTCAATTCTTTTTTCAAAGTTACAGATCTATTTTATCAACTTCTTTTATCTACATTATTCTATCAACTAGAGGCTTTTCATCTTGAAGACCTGCTGTGATTATGAGTATAATCTGATGTGAAAACTATTTCTTTCTGTGAATTTTCAAGAATTATCAGAGGCACACTGAATTCTGCAAAGATGTGAGACTCTGCCAGTCATTGAACTCTAGCTCTGAATAAACTGATTTCAGAGTGATAGACTGTTAAGAAGAAAAGATAACTGTTCTCAGAATTCTCACTGACATCTCTGTGTTTAGTTATATTGTTATAAAGAATTCACATTCAGATGCTGAAATGTTAATCAGCTTCTCTTTTAATAGACAGTGCATAAGAGCATGCTTTCAAACAGAGTTTCTCTATATCTTAGAATTGACTAATTCATATTCAACTGCTGTTCACATGAAATCTTTTCTCACTTCAGTTCTCAAAGTTCTCATTTAAGTATTTACTAGTACTACTATTATCAAGATCTGTACTAGAGATTATTCAACTCAGAATCACTCTCTAAACTTTGTTATAAATCTTCATATCTGTCTACTTATCAGAGCTTCAATTCTATCTCAACAGTGAGGTATGAATAGCACACTTAAGTGTCATTCATTTTCAGAGCTAGTTCATTCAGCTTATAAGTTATTACATACTTCTTAGCAGATTCTGACTTTCATGATCATCATCAGACTGTCTAAATAAACTAACATCTTTTATAAGATCTGATGAGTGTGTATTCTAATATCTTAATCTCATATTCAGTTTATTCTGCATTATCAGTTCTACTTATTAAAAATGATTCACTAGTAACAATTCATTTCAGTGCTTATATTCAATAAAGTAACAAGAGCTTCTTATATATTTAAAGTTTGAGAATAGATTAAGATTGTTTCAATCTCAAGACCTCTAATCATTCACTTTATCTCATAAAACTGAAAACATTACTGCTATTCTGAGAGAAACTTCAGCAGAAATCAGCTACTAAATAATTCAATTAGTCTTTTAACTCTATACTTAAATTCAATGATTGATTTGCATGTCAGAATTACTATAAGTTTTCATCAGAGTTTTCTCTGACTTCACTCTATTCAGATATAGTTCATTATCTTTCAGGTTTCAACAGTCATACTCTTACTCAAATCTATCTAAAGACTTCAGAATCAGTCAATGATGCACTCTTAAGAGTTCTTCTTTCTGTTCACTTTCACTGCATGAACAGGTTTGACATCTGAACACTTGTATAAATATTAGACTTCTTAATCTATGTTTCAAGATGAATTACTTATAACTATTAAGTCAGTGTCTGTACTGAAGTGCATTTCTCAGTCTTAACTGACTGCATTGCATCTCTGACTATAAGATGTTCTGAGAGATAACACATTTCAGAAGTTTTTGACTGACTGTTGAAACTGACACTGACTCATCTGTGAAGAAGTGCACAGGCAATAAATATCTACTGAATTCTCACAGCTGACTCTGATCATAAGTGCTTTTCTTTTAATAATTTCACATGCTGTTTAACTCTCTTTTTAAAGTGCTTTTTATCTTTCAATCACTCTACTTATGTGCTATCTGTCTCTGATCAATATTTAGCTTTAAATGAAATTTATCACTTATTTAGAGCTGTATTTTCAAACAACTCAACTCATTGAAGAAGCTTCACATGAGCGAAGTCAGTCAGCTGAAGACAGAATTCTCACTCTCTGTGATACTCTGTTTCAGAGAACTTAGACTATGATCATGTCTGAAGAATTCTCTGCAAATTACAACTCAGGTCTCAAAAAAGCCAGATTTCAAATTTGAGCTTTTATCACTTCACTCACTGTTACTGAGATAATCTCTGTTGATTTCTTTTTCTCTGCTTATTAATATGCTTAAGTTCAGCAGGTATTTCTATCTGATCTGAGATCAATCTAATGAGAAGACTGGTCTGAAGACTGCTCTCTATTGAAGAATTTGAGATAAGGCTGAAGCCGGCCGGGCCTCTAGAGCGGGTGACAAAGCCTCATATACTCAGACACTGAAATATGACACTGCTGCTGCATTTCAGGCATGTTCACAGAGAAATAAAGACTCAACACATAAGTCATGCTTGAGAATTGCAATGACACTTGAACAGGCATACTTCTCAGAATATCAGAGAGTATAATATATGTTTAAAGATTCAATGATTCACAGAATTCTGCAATTTATTTACTTATCACATTTTATGTAAGAAATCCCGCTTCTCACGGATTCTTTACCTCTATTCCTGTCTCTCATGTAATCAATAGAGCTAGCAGCCCTTGGCTACACACAACTATATAGACTGAAGTTCACGAATACTATTCACAACTCAGCTTGAATACTATTATACATTTAATCTTTACATTTTATCTTTCTATTATGAATACTTCTAGTAGTTAACAGTACATATCATATCAAGCTGCAAACATCTGAATAATTGTCTGTAAACACTTATTCTTACATTTCAAGCTCAGTCAGTCAGCAATTATCTGTTATAACTAGACTGGCCGCTGAGATCATGAATTTCACGTTTGGTCCCATTTGGTCTGGTCCCATACATTTCTTGGCGTGAATCCCGCTGGGACTGGCTATCAAAAAAACAGGTAAAGTGACTATATATCAGATCTTAAAATGAAACCATGACTTGAAAAAAATGAGAAAGTGGTCTCATTTGGTCCCATTTAGTCCCATTCTTGGCATAAAGTTACTATTTTTAGACATTTTAAGGTTTTTTTTAGACTATTTTTAATTTTTTAAAAAGTAACACTTTTTAGTAACACTCAAATGAGATTTAAAGTCATTTAAAGCAATAAAAATAATTTAAATTGAGAAGTGGAAATCATGGTCTTATTTGGAAAATGTGACAAGAGTAGACAGTAAGTCTCACTGAGACAGTATGAAACTACTATCTAATGTTAAAACTGTGTAATGAGATCAGTCGAATTGATAATGAGACTATCAAAAAATCTGGTCCTGATCTCAGACACGGTCACACAGTCAATCTAGTTATGACTGAAAGAACTAGAAACTTATATACTTCAATCTCTGCAAACTCTACTACAGACACTCAGAAGCAGTCATCTGAATCATGAATAATCTCTGTGAAAGAAGTCTTAAAGAACTTATCAATCACTCACAGAATATCATTCTCTGTATCTATGACAGAGAAACTCTCTGAATTCATAAATGAATCAATCTCAGTGAAGAACATTCTTGAGCATCTCTTACAGAATTAAGCTATTTTTCTACAAGAAATACTTACTGTCTGTAAACACTCTTAAACTAAGTCTCTAGACATGATTTTCAGAGATATCTGTGAACTGAAAAGAAACTTTCTTAAGCTGTGATCACTTAAGACTACTTATCAAATTACAATCTATAAAAGCTTTTGTGAGTTTGCATTTGAAATTGACTCACAAGCTCAGCTATGTAATATGAAAGATGAAGAAGCTGTCATCTATATAATAACAGATCTCTATTATACTGAAGTCAAGAACTGACTGAATTATCTAGAGAATGATTATAAGAGATTTCACTGATCTGTTCTTAAGATCTATCTGAAGAATAAGTTAAGAGACTTTATAAGCTGAATAGAGAATATCTGAGCTGTAATCATCAATATTAGAAAAAGAGATAAGAAATCTGATGAAGACTACTTACAGTGCTTCATAGAATTATAATATGAATTGAGATCTGTGAAAACAGGGCTCTGAAACAAGATCTGAATAATGATGTTTATAAAGAAGCTGAATAAAGATATGCAGAATAAGCTCATTGAGTAAGACTCTAAGCTCTTGACTCTGAAGAAACTGATGACTTTTATTTATCACTTATAAATCACTGTGAGAGTCACAGATCTGCAGAGAGTGAATCACTGACTGACTCTGTAAGAGCTAGAATAACAGAGAACAGATTTGTTAGAAAAAGATAATAAGACACAGAGAGATTCATATCTAACTGCTAAGCAGAGAGAGAGAGCTTTACAAGCTTCTGTGAACAGAGTATATAATAGAGAGATTAAGAAAAAGAGACTCTGCTTCATCTATTCTAAATCAGAATATCTTCATACAAACTATTCAGATAAATTAAAATAGAAATTTGAGAAGTTATAAACAGAGTCAGTAACAGTCTTCTTAAGAATCTTGAAGCTGACATCTGAATCTGTTGCTTCTCTGATAAAAATGCTTACTTATGAGAAGAGACTGCACTGTGATACTGCTGCTCTGCAAGCATAAAAAGTATTAATGAACTCAGAATCTCAGGTCACTGTGATGTCTCTAAAGCTCATAGAGTGAATAGACTGAAAGATGAAAACTGAAAGCCTGCTCTTATAATAAGCAGAGTGTGAGAACTCAGACCTGAGAGCTGAGAGACTTATAAGAGTTATCTTTGAATTGCAAGATCTCTCTGAAATCTGAAGAAGATTTGCAGAAACTGTGATTGTTATAAACATCATAGATAACATATACTTGAAACTTGTATAACTTTAAAGATATAATCTGCACATAGCTGTCTGTGAGTTAGATTTATACTTTCAATCAGTGTTATGTGATTCAAAGATTGCTTAAGCCAGCATACAATTACAGGCGTACGCCGGCTTCTTATATTGTAATCTCATACACTAAATTAATTAGCATACGCTATGGCCTCTTTACACGCGTATGCTAGTAGTTCAGAAGCAGTCATGTTATTATCTGATGATTGTATGTTCTTCTGAACCACATCCTCTCTCACCAGATTCAGTCACGC